AAGGGAGAGAGATAGAGAGTTAGAAACATCGATGAGAGAGAAACATCGATCAGCTGCCTCCTGCACATCCCCCACTGGGGATGTGCCCACAACCAAGGTACATGCCCTTGACCGGAACCGAACCCGGGACCCTTGAGTCCGCAGGCCAACGCTCTATCCACTGAGCCAAACCGGTTTCGGCAGCTGCTCACCTTTTGAGTAAGGCCACGTGCCCCAGCTGTGATGGGCTGGAGTTTGAATTGTTGAATGGTTAACCTTGTTGGTTAGCATGATGCAGAGTATGTGGGTGCATGGGTGTGTGCCAGGCATTTGACTCCACCAGTTAACCCAGTGCCAAAGGGAGGCAAATATGGCAGAAAGCCTCTGAAGAAAGGAGAGTGTGGCCTAGGCCGATTTCATTATCCAGCAAAAGCCATTCTTCTTGAAACATATGGTAACTGGCTTTTATTCGGGGCAACAAAGTCTCCCAAGAAGAAATTCACTGAACCCCTGCTCCCCAATCCAAAGCAAATTTTTTCCTACAAAAAATACTCAATTACATACAAATCCTGGAAACATTTTAAATTGAGAATGACATCTTCTCTAGATGTAATAAAAGTAATCAATGTAGCCAGAAAAATAAGACCTGGGACCAGTGCAGGGGTGGCTGTGTGTTCGAGGCATGTCTGTATGGGTGTGTATTTTTTTAAGTAGGAGATTATCAGGCACATGTGGGTTTCCTGTCCCTTGAGCCACCTTGATGCATTCAAAATATTGATTAATGGGCCTTTAAAAAGCCGGAAAACTCATTGCCCCTGTTGTGTTTGCCTTTAGTGCTGCATAAAGGGTGAAGATCCTCAAAGAGAAACAGCTCTGTAAGTACTGTGGGCTGGATCTGCCTCTGCCCCGGGGAGCAGTGGTGTGCATCACAAAGCCCATCCCGGGCAAACTCCTCCTGAGATGGGAGGGGTGGAAGGTTGAAGGGGTTCAGAGGAGAACAGAGGGTGGAGGAGAATCTGCCTCCTCTTTAGAGGAAGACGGGTGGGGCTGTTTGGGAGGTTGCCTGGAACTGAGAGTATCTTTGGTCTTAAGCCTACTCTCTCTTTAAACAACGTTGTGCTAATGCTTGTGCAACCGCATTTTTATTGCCCTGCAATGTAAATTAGTGAGAGGGCCTACCCTAGGGGAAGCCACCGCTGTGTTCTCCTCACAGCAAAGTCAGGAGCCACATTCCTCATCCTAAACCCTGCCTTCTCTTTGGAACGCCCCTTGAGTCCGCAGGCCAACGCTCTATCCACTGAGCCAAACCGGTTTCGGCAGCTGCTCACCTTTTGAGTAAGGCCACGTGCCCCAGCTGTGATGGGCTGGAGTTTGAATTGTTGAATGGTTAACCTTGTTGGTTAGCATGATGCAGAGTATGTGGGTGCATGGGTGTGTGCCAGGCATTTGACTCCACCAGTTAACCCAGTGCCAAAGGGAGGCAAATATGGCAGAAAGCCTCAGAAGAAAGGTGAGTGTGGCCTAGGCCGAGTTCATTATCCAGCAAAAGCCATTCTTCTTGAAACATATGGTAACTGGTTTTTCTTCGGGGCAACAATGTCTCCCAAGAAGAAATTCACTGAACCCCTGCTCCCCAATCCAAAGCAAATTTTTTCCTACAAAAAATACTCAATTACGTACAAATCCTGGAAACATTTTAAATTGAGAATGACATCTTCTCTAGAGGTAATAAAAGTAATCAATGTAGCCAGAAAAATAAGACCTGGGACCAGTGCAGGGGTGGCTGTGTGTTCGAGGCATGTCTGTATGGGTGTGTATTTTTTTAAGTAGGAGATTATCAGGCACATGTGGGTTTCCTGTCCCTTGAGCCACCTTGATGCATTCAAAATATTGATTAATGGGCCTTTAAAAAGCCGGAAAACTCATTGCCCCTGTTGTGTTTGCCTTTAGTGCTGCATAAAGGGTGAAGATCCTCAAAGAGAAACAGCTCTGTAAGTACTGTGGGCTGGATCTGCCATAAGCGGCGGGGGAGCAGTGGTGTGCATCACAAAGCCCATCCCGGGCAAACTCCTCCTGAGATGGGAGGTGCTGGAAGGTGAAGGGGTTCAGAGGAGAACAGAGGGTGGAGGAGAATCTGCCTCCTCTTTAGAGGAAGACGGGTGGGGCTGTTTGGGAGGTTGCCTGGAACTGAGAGTATCTTTGGTCTTAAGCCTACTCTCTCTTTAAACAACGTTGTGCTAATGCTTGTGCAACCGCATTTTTATTGCCCTGCAATGTAAATTAGTGAGAGGGCCTACCCTAGGGGAAGCCACCGCTGTGTTCTCCTCACAGCAAAGTCAGGAGCCACATTCCTCATCCTAAACCCTGCCTTCTCTTTGGAACTTCCTTTGATCTGTTGGTTCCAGATACGTAAAGTGGGCGGTGGGCAAAAAGAACCAAGGCATTCTTTCCAAGAGTAAGAATTTAATTTTGATTTTTTTTATTGTTATGGTCATCATTAAAATTAATTTCTTGGCTCGTTTCAGATGAGAAAGCTGAGATGCCACCTCATACAGCAAGAATTGTGCATCTGGATCGCCTTGATTTACGTAGCCCCATCTGTATTTATTGCTATTATTAAATTCACTCCTGTCAAATTGTCAGAGGTTATGAAGACGTGTTTCATTAAGCAGTTAACAGTAGTTTTTATGACTAATTTGATCTACTTGCGGAACATTTTTATGAAGAAAGCTGTTCAGAAGGAAAAGTAAGATTTTTGTTCAGTCTTCTCCCTGAAGGGCATGTTCATTGAAAGCTGTTCTGAAAAGGAAGGTAACTATGTACCATTTAGAGTATATTTTCCTAGAGAGGAGCTTAGCAGCTGTTTGGGTTTTACAAATCAGTGCACCACCACCCAAAATAACTGTGGGGCAACTTAGAGTGATCCGTTGTTTTAGGTTGCCAAGGAAGCCTGTAAAAAATACTAATTATCATCTGCTTTCACTGTCGTTATATCAAAGAAATGTTTTGGGTCGAAACCGGTTTGGCTCAGTGGATAGAGCGTCGGCCTGCGGACTGAAAGGTCCCAGGTTCGATTCCGGTCAAGGGCATGTACCTGGGTTGCAGGCACATCCCCAGTTGGGGATGTGCAAGAGGCAGCTGATCGGTGTTTCTCTCTCATCGATGTTTCTAACTCTCTGTCTCTCTCCTTTCCTCTCTGTAAAAACTCAATAAAATATATTTTAAAAAAATACCAATTATCATCTGCTTTCACTGTCGTTATATAAAAGAAATCTTTTGGGACTGAAAAGGGAAGGCTATAATATCAGAATATAAAATACTCTTTTAAATGGAAGAAATTATGAAAAACTCAGCACATTTTTCTCTCTTTTCATGATTGACACAGTCCCAAACCTTTTGGACTATATAGTGATGACTGAGAACAGT